TGCAATTAAAACTCTTGAGTTTATTTGAGTCAAAATACAAGCGAACCAACATCCAAAATTACCTGAACACCGCTCTGTATTAAAGAAGAATTAAAGATAATTTTTATGGCCATAATAACTAGTATAAAGTTTAAAAAACGCTGTTGCGTTTATAACTAATAACTAAAGTTTAAAATTTAACACACTATTTTCAGGGATAGCTCGTGGAGGGCTCTTGATTTCCTGTAAATCTCTAATAAGTTTAAGGTATAAATTGTTCACTGACTCTTACCTTGCACCGTGCTTTTTGATGCATTTCAGTGAATCTTTGTTTCCAGACCACTTCATGATGATGACAAATCCTAATGTGGCAGCAGGGTCATGGCTAAAGCAGCACACATAAAGACCTGCATTCGCCTGAGTTTTCTGAGGTCTTCTTGAACAGAATTCTCAGACACTGATTGGGCTTGTTCTCTTTTGATGTATTTCTGATAAAGATTCTCATCAACTTTCACTTTTGTTGCTGCTTCTCCGACGATATCGTCATAGTCTTGATAAGTTCCTGTCTTGCCTTGGAGCTCGAGATAGATACTCTCTGGTTCATCGGGTGTCGTAGACATTGTGCCAGTGTTGTATCGTAGTTGCAAATGAGTTAGCAACAGGATTTTGACTCTGACTAGTTACTAACACCTTCGCTTTTAGTAGCTAGCTGTATACGTTATGCCTCAAATAAATGCGGTCGGCTGCGTTTGAATAAGATACTAATAGTTTGCAAAAACAGGAACTATAAGATATTCTACTTTTATTTATTGCAAAGTTTACAAGATATGACGCCTGCTAATAGCCAATGTGGTTGCCTTAAATGTTGACCACATAGCTAGAAGGTAAATAATTTACATAAAAGGGAACAGGAACATATTATTTGATTTCAATATGTACCGGAAATGACTTCATCTTATTGCACTAACTTGCAATTGCAGAAACGCTAGATGGTTTTGATATACGTAACTAACACTGATTTTTATATATCATGGTAAAAACGTTGATCGCACATTTTCAAGTTTACGCAATACGACGATCGCATTGCCATTCCCGATCAAGTTTGACAACTTCAGTCGTTTCGATTACGGCGACGAAATCTGCCCCGAAAAGTGTGCCGCACGTTGAGAGTTTTTTTTTTTTTTTTGCTTATTAAATCTGTTGCTTTCTATTTCCTCGTTTCCATAGTTTTGTCTTTTTTCCTGGTAGCAAATGACTGTCACGGCGAGAGAAAAATGAGAGGAAGAAGACAGACCTCTGCCGGTCCCCGACGCGTTTCCTTAGCAACCAGTGACGTGTTCGACAGAGGTGCGGGAGTGTTGTGAAAAATTCTTCCCGATAAAGAGATGCTGCTTATCCCCGTACATAATCATATAGCACCTTAAGCTTGAATTCTTTAATGGAGATCGGGATCATTAATCAATCTCATAATTGACTGATTCACTGAGCGTATTAGATTTTTGGATCAAATAAGCTCTCACTGCCAATCAAAGGGGAAAAAAAAAACTCACTTTTTAAAATCTCAGTGCTAATTGATTACGTCTCCTACTGGAAACGAGACGCCATTTTATGTGGTCATCCGAGCCAGGCAAAGGTCCGGCCCCAGTCCCTATAAATAAAGGTGTTTAGCTGCTGTAATACCTCATGAAAGTAGAAACTCAGAAGAATCGATAATTCTTTAGTTTAAATTTTGGTGACGTCATGTGAAAACCAAGAATATATCGCACAAGCCCCAATTCAAGTCCCGTCCTTACGAATCCTAGCAGGCTGAAACCACATACTTAATTACACTCGAAATATTCCTCTCTGGAGCAGTTAAACAAAGAAAAAAAAAGATGCACCTTCGGTGAGCGGATTCACTGCTTTTGCGTAGACGGAGGGCCTCAATCATGAAGAGCTACGTAGAGAAGAGACGGGATCTTCAGCAATGTAAGGAGAAAAAGTCACAATTCCCTCACATTTGTAACCCCTTGCCATTTGAAATTGTTTAAGAATAACTTCACAGTGGCGGATCCAGGGAAAGGGCCCGGGGGGATACAGCCCTTCCCCCTTATTTTTAGATCAAAGTGAGGCCCGAAGGGCCGAAAAAAAATTTTTGGGAGACCGCCCCCCCTACTTATCTATGGGTCTGATGACCGCTCCTCCTCTCCCCCCCCCCTCCACTTATCAAGGTAAACTGCTTCACGTTCACACGATACTTCGCATTGTTACAACGCTGCAACTCAATAACAGGGTTTAAATAAATTATGTAGTCAAGAAAAAAGGCTATATTTTGACTTCACCGGTTGTAGAAAAAAACCTGTTCATTCGGAAAGGGCTATACTCAAAATTACGTGGAGCATTTCTAAAATTCCAAACCTGAATGTCGCTGTATTTATTCCTTGGTAAACCATTGCGCTTTCAGTCAATCCTTCTGAATTGAACCTGTACACTCCAAGGCCTGTTCCTTTCGTTTCACAATTAACTACCTTATTTCTCCTTTGAGAGACCTTGTCTTTAACAGCAACTGCGATACTTCGTCTAGATTTCCTTTATCGAATAAAAAGTCGCGACGGAATCACTCGGCTTTGCTGTTTCTAGCATGGGACGGCTAACATTTTGGGTGGATTCATTTGCAACATACGCGTATAGCTGTCGTATTTGCCCACAAAAAGGTCTTTTGTTTTTAAGCTTAAGAACAATAAAAAATTCCAACAGGCAAATTAAATGCGACAGCTATACGCTATGTTGCAAATGAATCCAACCTATTAAAAAGATAAGATTCTGGATTAATGCCATTGTGCCACCTCTGTGGGCATGCAATCCTTGAAAACAAAAGAAAGAGTGGGCGCGGTTTTCCTAAATGGGTCCCTGAGGAATTGTCACCAATGCAATAAAAGTTTAGCAGCTCGTGTTTATGCGAATTATCACAATTGCGCCCAAGCTTAAGGGCCTGTTTACATGGAGGTGGGGGCACCAGACAGGTGAGGTAACATGTGGCGGGTAACTCCACCTATCATGTAAATGTGGTCAAAATTTAAATGAGACATTATATGGACGGGCGGGTTACCCCCCCTACCTGGGGTCTCCCACCTCCATGTAAACAGGCGCGAAAAGTTAATTGGATTAAGGAAAGTCTTTTCGCTATTTTTGGAAGAGACTAACAAATCTTAAGCTACTGATAAGGGTCAGCCGTAAAGTCGCGGGTCCCATGATTATTTGCAGGCTCACACAGGGTGCCGACGCATTTTGGGACTTGCAAAGATAATTTACGTTCATCGCGACGTGCTTTTGGGCTACTCTTCTTTTTTTAGGAACTTCACTCTCACTCATCCTGTAAATTTTTTTTACTCTATAAAATATTTTAAGGTTTTAAGCCAGTAGAATGTCGAACGGTTTCGAATTGCGCTGGAAGTTGTTTTGGTCAGTATGTAAATTAGCTCGTATCCTTTTCATCGAACTGAAATATCCTGGCTTTCTTTCTTTCATTTTGTACAATTTATTATGTGAATTTACGATTTCTGAAGAAAAAACTTCGACGAAACGTCGCGTTTCACTTACACTTATATGCAAATTACCCCTTCACCGTCAAGAAATAAACACTAGAAAAATAAAATAAATGAATATTCAATAAGTAAAGTCATCAGAAATTTTAACAGTTCTATATTACTCAAGTAGAGACAGACAATTTCATGATTTGTATAAGTTCATCGTACCTCCTGTCGCGCATGAACAATTTATGCCACAACGGTACGAACCCCGGCGCCCCTCCCCCCGCCTAAATAAGGCCAGACGCCGATTCCTACGCCAATCGAATTTATCTGGGCTATAATATTTTAAAAGATTTCCCAATCATGATTACCCGATCTTGCAAATAATGTAACAAAATTAGACCGCAACAGTACCATTCCATCTCGTCAGCTACGTTCATCGTCTAAAAATCTCCCTTCTCTTCCTTATTTTAATTTGAGAACATTGGCACCCCCCACACTCTCGAATACTGTGCCGTCTGACATTAAGAATAGCTCCTCTGTGTCCGTTTTTTAAAAACAAACATAAAAATTTCCTTAAACCATTTTTTTGGTGTGTGTACCCATTACGAGTAAATGTCACCAGTAAAAACGTGACCGTTTCGTTTTTCATGGTAAACAGACAACAAAGGCCGGCAATTTCGGCTCCAAATGATAAGTACACGCGAAGGAACTGGGACCAGTTTCAAGACCAACACCTTCTTGACCGAGAGAGGTTATAATCTTATAATCGCGAATAAAATGTTTAACTAGACAAATGAAAAATAAAGTGTTTGTTTCCTTCCTCCAGGCGGCCGGTGATAATTGCAGTCATCTATGATATCGCAATAGTGTGCAACGTAGTCAATGCGCAGTGCAAGACAAGAGTAAAGATGGATCGTCCATGAAGTAGAGCTTTTCTTCATATCTCAGAGTAAATATTAACAAAGAGTTTTAGCCACTCTGAGGATAAATCGTTTTTATTATTATCTCGCAGTATAAAACTTTGGAATGCTGTCCACGTTATGAGTAGTATAGGGCGCACAACGTAACCTACACCACTTGAGAAGCTATACTTAGAAGTAAAAAAAGTCGGTACGAAACCTAATACGATCCTAATATACATAATGATATGAATCTCTCTACTTAAAAAGCCAATTAAGAATATTATTAAATTCTTATACACTGTAAAACCTACGCAAAGACATGATGATATAATTATCTCTACTAGAAGCCTAATATTTAGAAAATTATTCAGCTTTTATACTCTCATTATCTCTTATATACCTAAACGAGGCCATCATAATGTGGTTGTCTCTATTATTATTATTATCATTATCATTATTATTATTAACGTTCATCGTATTCGATCGCGAATTACGATAATACATTAATATACAGTACTTGACATTCTACTACAGAACACTCTAATAATAATCAGTAATAAACCGACAGTGGAAACGATTTTTTTTATCATGGCCTTAGTTTCTTGGTTTAGACAGACAATTCCAGGATTTTTACAAGTCCGTTGTCATTTGAGTTCCCTCCACTCACGCCTGAACAATTCGAGCCACTACAGTAAGAGCCCCCTGCCCCTCCTGCTTGGTATGCGTATGTGCCGCTACCTCCCCCAGAGTATCCACCACCTCCTCCTGATGCACCATTATCTTCCGACCCCCCTCCACCTCCGCCAAACCCTCCTACGGCCCCAGGGGGAGGCCCTCCGTTGTTGCCACTATTCATTCTTCCAGCACGTCCACCTACCCAGCCCTGAGCACGCGATCCACCCATTTCACCATTTTCGGACCTGACCCTGGAACAACCTTGGCCTGACCATCCCGCACCTACTCCCCCATGCCAATTACCGCCTACGCGGTTACACTGACCAGGATTCCCTCCAGATCCTCCGCTACGAACATAACTTGAATCTCGTCCAACGCTACTGGTGCCATTAGTACCCGCCTGACCATCCACCCCGTTATATCCGCTAGATGCACCCCCTCCTCCTCCGGCAGCTAACAAAAGCACGTTACTTGTTGTATAAATAAAGCTCCCTCCCCCTCCCCCAGTTCCAGCATTGTCCTCTACGGACAGTCCCAGCTGAGCAGCTGTCAAGTTAGTGGACCGTCCGCCTTTTACCTCCACCGAATCTCCTCCTCTTTGTCCCACCACAATATTCAGTATAGTTCCTTTATTCAAGGTAAACATGCCCTCTTTGTATGCACCTTTTCCACCGTAGTAAGTTCCGGGATAACTTCCGTAGTTTGTGGAGTGCGTTCCTCCTCGTGCTCCCCAGGCTCTGATTCGATAGCGAGTGGTTTTTGGCACTGTGAAAGTCTGAATGCTGCCGAAACGCCCTGCTCCATTCGTTGTAAACGACCAAGGAGCTGATAATGACAATGTATTGTATTTAATAATATACATGAAAACATTTCTTAAATCTGATTGGTTGAGAGCAGTCCAGTTTTTAGTAAACTGAAAACACAGTACAAAAAACGAGGAAAAATAATACAAAAAGAAGGGAATATAATGCAAATTTCTTAGAGAATGGAAAACTGTGATTTGCTAATAGACAATAGAAATCTGTAAGAACCAATCAAGTGCTGCAATCTACTGGCATCCAAAGCTTTCAAGCAAAGCCAGGCAAGTCATTTTTTTATGTATATTATTAAAAAGTGACCATGCAACTTTTCTCATTCAATTTGGAATTTGTTTGCATTCGTGCGTTCAAATTGCATTCGTGTTATGGGCTCATGTACTGAGTTTTGATACTTTTTAAAAATCACATTCATGCAAATAAATTCCAAATTGAGCTCGAAGTTCTATGATTACCTATACTAATATTTGCGCTCTAAATTGTATTTAAAATAATTAAAAAGTAATATCAAAACCCATCAGTTGATAATCAGTTTAGGGTGATAATCAGAACTGAAGTGAGGACTACATTGTGGCAGACGAAACTTAATGGCCGGTGCCTGTTTGCGAGGAGTTAGCCCGTATGCATGAAATCAAGGCTGTGGAGGCTACAGTTTCTTCTCGCTGAGATAATCCCTCATACCAGACCAGACTGATTGTGATCAAGGGCTCTTTAAGGCGATATTACTTGAGACGATTTGCAACGACAATTTTTATGGCGACAATGTTGCAACAATCAGAAACAATGTCGCAACAATGCTGCAACGCTGTGTTGCGCTAAAGATCGTCGTTGCGAATAGTCCCATGTAACATTGCCTTTACAAAGGGAATCAATGCCTCCTTAATGATATTGCCATTGTCTTTAAGATGAACGCTTCAGGCAAAGAATTTGAAAAGGTATCAGCTGTCAAGAGATTTTGAAATTGAATCAGGAATATCAAGACAATCGACCTAAAAACATTTCAGAAACAGGAGGACAATCTGATGCCCATATTCCGAAGCCCGAAGCGTGCAACTCGCATACTTAGCCTAAGCAATAGATCAGTTTATTTGGAAGCCCCGCTTCGTATGTGCGCGCATCCGATAAGTATAAGAAATACGAAAATAGAGCGTTTTCACATGATGGCATGGCGGCCATATTGGTGTTCCAAAACAATGGAACGGCCGTCATGTTGGCTGTTTCAAACCAGTCCTGTAGGAGTTGAACTCTTTTCTTGTATAAAGCTTTCTTTTGTTGAATAAATTTGCATAGATGCTGGCCACGTATTAAAGTGAACACGCTCTAAAAATAAGTAACCATCATCAATACATCAAAAAATACTATTAATTGGTCTCCAGGCTTTGTTGACTAGAAAGTCAGTGTGAAAATCTACATCTGCGTAACCGCGGTAGCATGGGCATGGGTTCTTGAGTAGACTTAGTCATGTTTGGTAGAATCTAATTATTACTATAATTACATAATTGCTGCAATTGAAATTGATAAAAAATACATATATGTATGTAAAATAAAATAAAAGATATAAATCATGGAGTACGCATCAGCCGCACAAAACTTCAGTCTTCATGCATGTACATACAACTTGCATAAAAAGAAATTACAATAAACATGTCTTCCCTAACTTTTAATTTTATATGTTTAATAATTACCATAGCACGTGATTCCATCACCGGAGGAACCAAACTTGCATGCACACAAGTGGGAACCAGCAGTATATTTTTTAAAAGCTTAATAATTCTAGATTATGGATTTAAACTAACAAAAACGATTTACTTAAATGTGTTTCGAAATTGGAACGTTTTGTGTAAAAGTACACTTCTCTATAAATCATGTTCCACTCCAGCCGGAAATAAACGGAAGAAAACAATTAACACCGCATTCGCTTCTCCACACGTTCCACTAAAAAACCGTGTCTCAGATTTTTGACAAGTGCGTTTGTTTTTCTTTTATTAGCAAATGAAGTTGGGAAAGGCAATTAGTCAACACTCCCCGTGGAAAAAAGCTCTAGCTTTAAAATGAAAAGGAGTATTAAAATTCGCAGACACGGTGTTGTAGAAGAGATATATGGCATCACTCTGGCCAAATTTTAGCCAAATTGATTGAAAGGCTGCCGACTTGGAGTTCAAAACGTACCAGTCGATCGGCAAAATTTGCGTTCGGAGATAAAATAGAAAATACATTTTTGGCGGCATCCTACCTGGAATGAGATTAGGGGCCGACCATTTAACTCTTGAGGGGGGGGGGGGGGTGATTTTGAAAAAAAATTTCCTGCAAGCGCTTGTCGGAAGAAAAAAATTGCATGCAGCACAAATGTAATAGAAAAAAAATTCTTGCGCTGCTGTAAGAAAGAAAAAAAAATGTTGCAAAGCTATTTCATCATTCCGGGGGTCTTTAAAAAATCGCAGCAAAACTGCAACCATTCCCTTGCTCACTTTGAACTCTGGATTTGATGATGCTGCAAAATTATTGCGTCATATGTGCAATGCATTATTAGCTTATCACAAGCAGTATTATAAATGGAGGTATTTTTTTTTATTAAAGAATCAACTTTTAATAGACAAAGGAAGTTTTTTTTTTCATTTTTAACAGAAACATTTTTATGTAATTATTTTCTATTTAGATAAATATAATATATTTTTTTAAGTTTTAGTAATGCACCTATCGATGTCTAGCCCCAATTGGGGGAGTGCAGGTATACCCAGGGGCTATTGACAATTGATTTCAAATATTTTTGGTCAATAAATTTCAAATTCCACACCCTCTGCCTTTTCAAACCCTAATTCTTATTCAAAACATCCCCTCCCTTGGACAAAGTTCACAAGTCAAATGCCCCACCTATTTCCGCACTCCCTCTGTTTGGGCAAGACATTGATAGGTGCATAAAAAGTAGCTGTATATTTCATGAATAAAAATTGCGCTGCACGATAAAAATTAACAGCAGCAACTGTATAGAAGTGGACTGAAAAAAGGCTGAGCAAAAATTATTAGAGCTATTTTTCAATTAGACCATGATCAACTAACTTCAATTTTGTTTTCACATTGGTTTTGGATATTTCAGTCTACTTTTAAATTGCAACTAATGATTCTAGCAGCAATTACCATGCTATGAGCATTTCTAAACTGCTTTTTGCTATTTTTGGCTATTTTTTTTTTAATTAAGAAACTAAACACTTTCACATCTGCCTGTGGTGCATCACTTTATTTTGACGTAATAAAATGAGTGTAAAGAATGACTTTCTGAAAAGATAGCTATACAATAATGATTTTGTATAGCTTACAACATTTTAAGGCTTTGCAGCTCCATATTAGAACTATTACTGCAATGACCAGAATGTAAGTGTAAATACATTTTGTGTATGTAAACACATGACCCTTTTTGAGAAAAAAAAAAAAATCCTGCAGAGAAATGAGGAGGGAAAAAAAAATATCCTGCAGAGCATTTAGAAGGGAAAAAAAATATCCTGCCCACCAGATTGCTAGAAAAAAAAAATTCTTGCCGACCAAAAATCACCCACCCCCATCAAGAGTTAAATGGTCGGCCCCTTATAACACCTAAATGTTTATTCTGATTGATATCAGAGAGGGATCAATTTTCTCTAACAATAGGACTTTGACAGGTAACATGTAACAGGAACAAACTTTCGCGGCAAGCAAGGGAACAGTTTAATTCTCCGTTGGAAAACTTCCACTCTTTTACACCACGAGAAGCACGGTTTAATTCTTTCTCGAGCAAAAGTTTTGCCTCTCCTTCGACCTTTTTTGTATGATCCGCCCAGGCGTTTTTGTCGATCGGCGCCAGACCGAGGAAAGTAAAAAAACTTTGAAGCCGCCGAATGTCCACCACCGATTGTTCGAAGGCCAAGAACTGAGGCCCGGTTTATTTCAAACGCTCTGCTCTTCTCGGAAGAACTAAAAACAGAATTTGTCTTGTGCGACGGACGGCTTTCATTCTCGCACTGGATTCTCCAGGTAGAACCAAGTCCATGCTTAGTCGCTACATTTTCCATGACTTGGACTCTTCCCTGGCAAAATCGACAAGATACAGACTCGTCCAGTTTCTCAAGCAGCTTTTCGCTCGATACGATAGCTCGACCGCTTATTGTTTTCCACGTTCCATCAGCAGATGGGGTCGATGAGCTTAATTGGCTTTCTTCATCTGGCTCTTGAAGCTGGATTTTGGAGCGGCTTGCACTCTCATGATCAGCAACTGCAACATTTTCGCTTTTCTGAATATCCAACTCCTCGAGCCACTTCTCTTGCTGATAAAATGAGCCTTTGTCGCTCTCTGCCAATTTTGCGGCCCATTCTTTGTCAAACTCGCTCTTCGATTTCTTTTTCGCTCTCGGTTTCGATGACGAAATTTTCTTTTTTTTTGGCGGCAAACGTTAAATATCCACGGAGAATACTAAAGGTTATAAACAACGCGAAGACAATTCGCACTTGTTGTGTCGAAGCACGCACTCGGTATCACGTTACTAGTTCACGGGCAAGTTAATTGATATATGACACGGGTATGACAGATCTTGTCAACGATCAATTAAGATAATTAACGAGAAAAAATCTTTTACCCCCGATATCTTTCGACAGAAATAATATTTTCTTCTAATTTTTTTTTTAAAGAAAGCTCTCAAGCATATCTATTTGAAAACGTTGAAACCTCAAATATGGAAAAATGGCAATTTTAAGGGTGGCTGATACCTTAAGGTGCCTGAACACAGTTTAAGAAAGATATGTTTGGAGAATTACTTAATTAATTTATGGGGTACTGCTTCTTTCTTGGACCTAAATAAAATAATTTTACATACATTAGGCAGGATAATTTACCGATGCATGATGTTCCATTTCCAGTGTATCCAGGGCTGCATGTGCAGTTATAAAACCCCTGAGTGTTATTGCAGAAAGCATTGGCATCACAGTTATGGATGTTAGTGGTACACTCGTTAATATCTGAAAGGAAAGAAGTATTAAGAAAGTATTTAAGATGATGCGGGCAAACCGGATCAACGAAACATAATTCTAATACTGCAGCAGAAACGATTTTTGATATACCGGTGCATGCTGTTTCGTTTCCAGTATGCACTTGTTATATCTAAAAGGAAGGTATTTTCAGCAGAACGATGTCTATGAATGAAATAATAAGCCTTGGATAAGGAACGTTTCTATGTATGGGGTTCCTCTCTTTCGGACTTCTTAACATACAGTCAAGCTTCTCGTATTCTAAGCGACCAAACAAGATGCAAGTGTAAGTGGTCTCATACGGGAGGTGGCCGCTTATAAGATTCAAACAACAGGGTGCCTTTTTCAAGAAATAGCTTGTACTTTATCAGATGGGCTTCCATAAGTACGCTGAGAGATATGTTTGGAGAATTACTTAATGCATTTATGGGGTACTGCTTGTTTCTTGGACCTCGCTAAAATAATTTTACATGCATTAGGTACGATGATTTACCGATGCATGATGTTGCATTTCAGTATATCCAGGGCTACATGTGCAGTTGTAAGACCCTGAGTGTTATTGCAGAAAGCATTGGCATCACAGTTATGGACTTTGGCTGTACACTCGTTAATATCTGAAAAAAGAGAATTAAAGTTGCCTGAACACAGTTTGAGAAAGATAGGTTTGGAGAATTACTTAATGCATTTATGGGGTACTGCTTCTTTCTTGCACCTCGCTAAAATAATTTTACATGCATTAGGCAGGATGATTTACCGATGCATGATGTTCCATTTCCAGTGTATCCAGGGCTGCATGTGCAGTTATAAGACCCCTGAGTGTTATTGCAGAAAGCATTGGCATCACAGTTATGGACGTTAGTGGTACACTCGTTAATATCTGAAAGGAAAGAATTATTAAGAAAGTATTAAAGATGATGCGGGAAAAACAGATCAACGAAACCAAGAGCCATAATGGCTCTTGACGAAACATAATTCAAATACTGCAGCTCAAACGATTTTAAGCTCCCCCACCCCCCAAAAAAGCAAAAACAAAAACAAAAGCAAAACATAAAAAGAAAAAAAAAACTTGAAATGAAATGAAATAAAAAAAATCAAGGAGTTAAAATACATACATTGCTTTTTTTTTGAAAAATGTATTGGTCATGATAATTTACCGGTGCAAGATATTCCATTTCCATCGTACCCAGGGCTACACGTGCATTTATAAGATCCCTCAGTGTTATTACAGAAAGCATTGGCATCACAGTTATGGACGTTGGCTGTGCACTCGTTAATATCTGAAAGGAGAGAATTAAGGTGCCTGAACACAGTTTAAGAAAGATATGTTTGGAGAATTACTTAATTAATTTATGGGGTACTGCTTCTTTCTTGGACCTAAATAAAATAATTTTACATACATTAGGCAGGATAATTTACCGATGCATGATGTTCCATTTCCAGTGTATCCAGGGCTGCATGTGCAGTTATAAGACCCCTGAGTGTTATTGCAGAAAGCATTGGCATCACAGTTATGGATGTTAGTGGTACACTCGTTAATATCTGAAAGGAAAGAAGTATTAAGAAAGTATTTAAGATGATGCGGGCAAAACGGATCAACGAAACATAATTCCAATACTGCAGCAGAAACGATTTTTGATATACCGGTGCATGCTGTTTCATTTCCAGTATGCACTTGTTATATCTAAAAGGAAGGTATTTTCAGCAGAACGATGTCTATGAATGAAATAATAAGCCTTGGATAAGGAACGTTTCTATGTATGGGGTTCTTCTCTTTCGGACTTCTTAACATACAGTCAAGCTTCTCGCTAAGCGACCAAACAAGATGCAAGTGTAAGTGGTCTCATACGGGAGGTGGCCGCTTATAAGATTCAAACAACAGGGTGCCTTTTCCAAGAAATAGCTTGTACTTTATCAGATGGGCTTCCATAAGTACGCTGAGAGATATGTTTGGAGAATTACTTAATGCATTTATGGGGTACTGCTTGTTTCTTGGACCTCGCTAAAATAATTTTACATGCATTAGGCACGATGATTTACCGATGCATGATGTTCCATTTCCAGTGTATCCAGGGCTGCATGTGCAGTTATAAGACCCCTGAGTGTTATTGCAGAAAGCATTGGCATCACAGTTATGGACTTTGGCTGTACACTCGTTAATATCTGAAAGGAGAGAATTAAGGTGCCTGAACACAGTTTGATAGGTTGTGGATCATAGCCAATTATTGGGGTTTTATATAAGACTCATTGCGGGTATAACGCTAAAATTTTGATTCAGCACATCAGACAATCTATATTTATCAGACATGACATTTATTAAGTTAAAAGTGAGACTTGGATTGTTGCCATGGCAACACGGAAGTTTGACAACAAGCCAAAAAATTTCAATTTATTAGGTTTAAGCAAAATTCAGTCATTGGATTTTCTTAGAAAATTGAACATAGCTTTCGATTAGTAACCCTCATCTTTTAGAAACCACTTGACCAAAATTGTAACGAACAGTTTTTTAAAATCTTCAAGAAAATAGCCTTTATGGAAATCTTGATTTTGTCACAAAACTCCTTTGTTGAAAAGATATTTTGACGCTTTTATTGGCTTGAGCGTGACATGAACCGGATTTCTGCCAAATTTCGTCACATTTTAATGAGTAGATTTAAAGATATTGTAGTTTATTTACGTTGCTTATGAAAGCACGCATGTTCAGCTCTAGTTCAACAGGCCCGCGCTGAGGTCACGTGATATGTCAAAGGCGACAAAAACATTATTTTCTGTTAAACTTTTTATCAGCCTTTCCTCCCTCTTTTTCTTTATGTAATGATAAAGTTGTTAAAATACACAGTAAAGGGATAAATCAGATTTAGAGAAATTGTGTTCAGCAACCTTAGATGTTAAGACAAATCAAAACAAACCCAAACAAATATTGCTTATAACGGAGCAGAGACGTAATTTACACCGCTCCCCCCAGTTTTAATAGCAATAATATATGGTCGCTTAAAAATGCAAATGCGTTGATAATTTACCGGCGCAGGATGTTCCATTTCCAGTATATCCAGGGCTGCATGCGCAGGTGTAAGATCCATCAGTGTTATCACAGAAAGCATTTGCATCACAATTATGGACATTAGTGGTACACTCGTTAATATCTGAAGGGAGAGAATGTATGAAGATAAAAAGAAAAAAAAAAACAAATCCAAACAAATATTGCATTTTGCCTACACTACCCAGAAAGACACCCACCCAAGAATAAATGCGGGGCCCTCTGGGTCAGCAAGGACCTCTCAAAACCAGTTTATTGCAAAATTACCGAAGTTTACAAGACCGCTCCTAATTACAAAACGTCCTATGGTGAAACACAAACCTCGAAAGCAACTAAGACAACTAAGTACGACACTGTCGGATACGAAAACCCAAAACTACTTTGTGGAAAAAAGAGAACGTACATCCACCGCCTGCTGAAATCAACTGCGGAGGCGACAACTCGAGATCAGAGGTACGCAAAAACATTTTAGCTGCAAGCAGAGAATTAAAGGGGTTTGCTGGATATCAGAATCAAAGCTAATAAAGGCAACAGGAAAAAGGGACTGGCACTGCATAGTGTGATGAACTCTGCAAGACGATTAGTTTAAGGTTTTACCAAGACACGATTTTCCATTTCCAAAGTACCCAGGATTACAAGTGCAAATATAAGATCCAATGGTATTGTTACAAAACGCATTGACATCACATGAATGGATGCTGGTTTCACACTCGTCTATATCTGAAAAAGATTGAAAAAATATTTTTGAATTGAATCGTGCATCGCTAGATATCGTGCCTGATATGTTGTGGTTTAATTGGAAGCGCAAGCAGTTATGTTCAAATTTTAAACTGATTTTAAGTTTTAGGGTATCATTATATAGTTGATAATTAAACATAAACATATATAGAAAAATAAAAGAAGAGAAAAAGAAAAACTTCCTTGGATGTTTAGGGAGATGGACGATAATTCTTGCGAAGCGAGTTTATAATCTCGTCGAGCGCGAAGCGCGCGCGCATCACGTGAACCACCCGTGCTCTTAGCCAGATGCAAAATTCGATGCCCCATAAATAAATAAATAAATAAATGAACAAATATTTCTATGAATATATGCTTGGTGTCCGCCAAGGGAAGAAGCTAGGAAAGGTCTGTAAAGCAGCATTGGAGCCATTTGTTGGTATTCAAAATATAATGGAATTATAGGATTTATATATTTGCCTTTTGTTGTGTCTAATTCTTAACGCGATTTCTAAATTTGTACCACGAGAATAGATATGACAAGAAAAATCATAATATTCTAGATTACGCCCGGTTATCGTATTTTTGGAAATGACGTTATGTATGACTCAATGTCTTGCCTCTTCCTTCAAGTATACTTTATATAATGATGTCGCAGAATAAAAAGGCAAAATACCAACCCCACCCCTACAGGAATTCTTTTGTTGACTGCATTGCACTGGACATCTACGAGACGGTTTACGGACAAACTAGCCGATTCATTGCAGCTGGATTACTAGTAACCATCTCAAAAAAAAAAAAAACAACAACTCTACATCCTTACTCGAAATCCAACTCGAAATCCTAACTCGAAAATCCAACTCAAATTCCCATCTCGAAAATCCAACTCGAAATCTAACTCGAAATCCTAACTCGGAAGTTAGTTTATTTGTCTCCAATAGTTTGCCCCTCCGAATAGTTCTTTTACAGAAAAAAAGTCGCTGACTGTGTGCCCCCGAATCAGGGGCACCCAACGACGGTTTCCTCCTAAACGCATTGAAAAGTCTTTTTGTGCTATCCAGAGTACTTTTAGATCTCTAGAAATGTATTCTAAGCAGCACTATAAAAGTTGCATCTGTTCGGTCATCCTAGGGGAACTGAAGGCTTTTCGAAATAACAAGGGCTTCACTGTTATTTTTCCGAAAATTTTAGAAGCAGTTGAACGAACTCGGTGAGAATTTTTCTTGTTCCTCTTTCCATCTCATTTTTGAATCCGAAAATTTTCGGTTTTTCTTTTTCTACGAAAATTAGCCTAACATAAGGAGTAAAAGATGAAAAATTACACTTCAGAAAATAGTAGGGAATTTTTTAGATAAGTTTCGAAAATCGTACCTGAATGGAGCGCTCTTCTAGAAATTTTTAGCCCTATTCAAGCAATAGAATATTCTAGGCAATATTTGCTTCTGCGAACAGATATTTTACAGAAAACAGTCGTTGGGTGCCCCTGCCGAATCAGGAATGCAAAAATACTGAAACAAAATGTAAAATTCCCCGGGAAACAAATTTGTCTTTTAAACTTACCCTAGCTGAGATACCTACTGCAAAACAAGTGCGCGGGCTCTTGAAACATAAAGTTCTAAGAGCGGACTAAACCGAGATATGACAGGGCAAGTTTAGAAGCCTTTAATCGCTAGTTGAGGGTGTTACGAGTAGACAGCCGGACTTTTAAAAAGTTGTAACGTTTGCTTACCCTGCACCGCGGCGTCAAGTTTTGATCCTTTAGCATCATCATCAACATCATTATTTCGAGATATTATCAATGACAACATTATAGCAGCAATAACCAAAATGACAACGGCAATAAGACAGATGAGGACAGTTAACATGATCAGCATTCGCCGGTCATTTTCGCGACTTGGACTCTCTATCGTGGTGTCACTCATGTTCTCCCTCGTTCACTTTTATCAGCTCAGACTCTGAAGCTGTTAACTTGCTTCCACTGCCACTGCAAATAATATCCCACTTGTTCAGGGATATTAAGTTTATACAATCTATTTAAAATATTCCGTTCTGTTGTTGGCCCCAGGCATTCTCCCACTTTTAACACACGCAAACGCTTCGCAGGAGCCCCCTTTTTTCGCACTAAAAATAACCTCTTGCTTTGTTTGCATTGCAGACAGGATTGTCTACGGCTGATTTCATGCAAGAAACATTTATTTAAGTCCTCAGCTTCTACGTTCGTTATAAGGATGTAAGATCTTGAGCCGGCGTAAAGATGCGTGATGATAGCCCATGCGTCATGATAAAGTGATTTTACTTGAATAGTGAGACAAGTACGAACAAATAGTAAGTGCAATATAGCAGGGACACCCTCCGAGAAAATAGTTCGAAACCACTTAAACATAGCATTGTTAAACCTACTCTAGTATTTAAAGGGCAGATATAGGCTTATTTTTATCCCCTAAAAATTTTTCATCTGTTCTGATTTCCTAGTCTTACTAGTGATCCAAAAATTATGGGGATCAAAACTCACCTTTTCGAAAATTTCAGCCAGAAAAAAGGCTCCCGAAAATTCTTGGTGACCTCAGGGTAAAAATACGTTAAAAACATGGGCAATTATATGATTTTTTTAGATGTTCAAAAATCCTAGAAGAGGCAGGCAAGCAATTAATTTTAAAACAAATGTTCCGAAAATTCTAGATTTCAAATCGTCTCCCGAACAGATATTTTCCGAAAACTGACGTTGGGTGCCCTAATATAGCAAGGGGTAAACAAAAGAAGGCAATCGAATTAGTGCATAATAGTGTAAAGTAGAAAGTATTTGAATTTCTGGTATTATGGGAATGAACTTGATTTGTCATTAAAAACATTTCTTTAAATACATTAGGAAGCAGGCCTACTTAATAAGAATACATGATCTTTCCAACTTGAAAAAAGTAAATTTGAGATAATTTCAGTATTTGCAAACGTTTGAATTTAGGATCAGTGTGAGCATCAAATGGCGTCTTGGAAATAATTCGAATTTTTTTTTTTTTCTGACGTGGAACAATACGATTCAAGTTTGTGGGATACTTCGATGCCCAAACTAAGTTGTAAAAAAGGCTGCGTAAAGAAGTAACAGGAATGCAAAAGCTTGATATATATATTACTCCAATCACTCAGTCAATCAATCTAGAAACGAGGCTGCTTTGGCAATTTCTGACTAAAACTGAACGGAAGAAATGCAAGAATACGCAGTAACACGGTGAAGAACGGACGTAAAAAAGCATGGCAATTTAATTTCCTAGGTGTTAATAACTACTGGTGCTGTAATGCAGATTTCTCACTGTCATTTTCTTAAAGGTCAAAATCGTGGTTTCACAGCCCGCAGCCAGAGTATAAAAAGAGACAGTTTAATAAAATGGGTGTTTTCAGACCCCACAGTCACAGGGATAATTTGCTTTTTAATCGTGGTTTTACGCGCCGGAGCACATTTAAATATAACTTAATTATATATATAACTTAACGGTCACGAGATAGTCGTATGATATTTTTAAACCAATTACGTTTTAGCCCAAAAAATCAAATATATATGATATAAATTAATCCAGCTAGTGGTCTATGAAACCTCAAATATGGAAAAATGGCAATTTTAAGGGTGGCTGATACCTTAAGGTGCCTGAACACAGTTTAAGAAAGATATGTTTGGAGAATTACTTAATTAATTTATGGGGTACTGCTTCTTTCTTGGACCTAACTAAAATAATTTTACATACATTAGGCAGGATAATTTACCGATGCATGATGTTCCATTTCCAGTGTATCCAGGGCTGCATGTGCAGTTATAAGACCCCTGAGTGTTACTGCAGAAAGCATTGGCATCACAGTTATGGATGTTAGTGGTACACTCGTTAATATCTGAAAGGAAAGAAGTATTAAGAAAGTATTTAAGATGATGCGGGCAAACCGGATCAACGAAACATAATTCCAATACTGCAGCAGAAACGATTTTTGATATACCGGTGCATGCTGTTTCATTTCCAGTATGCACTTGTTATATCTAAAAGGAAGGTATTTTCAGCAGAACGATGTCTATGAATGAAATAATAAGCCTTGGATAAGGAACGTTTCTATGTATGGGGTTCTTCTCTTCAAGCTTCTCGCTAAGCGACCAAACAAGATGCAACTGTAAGTGGTCTCATACAGGAGGTGGCCGCTTATAAGATTCAAACAACGGGGTGTGTTTTCCAAGAAATAGCTTGTACTTTATCAGATGGGCTTCCATAAGTACGCTGAGAGATATGTTTGGAGAATTACTTAATGCATTTATGGGGTACTGCTTGTTTCTTGCACCTCGCTAAAATAATTTTGCATGCTTTAGGCACGATGATTTACCGATGCATGATGTTCCATTTCCAGTATATCCAGGGCTGCATGTGCAGTTATAAGACCCCTGAGTGTTATTGCAGAAAGCATTGGCATCACAGTTATGGACTTTGGCTGTACACTCGTTAATATCTGAAAGGAGAGAATTAAGGTGCCTGAACACAGTTTGATAGGTTGTGGATCATAACCAATTATTGGGGTTTTATTTAAGACTCATTGCGGGTATAACGCTAAAATTTTGATTCAGCACATCAGACAATCTATATTTATCAGACATGACATTTATTAAGTTAAAAGTGAGACTTGGATTGTTGCCATGGCAACATGGAAGTTTGACAACAAGCCAAAAAATTTCAATTTATTAGGTTTAAGCAAAATTCAGTCATTGGATTTTCTTAGAAAATTGAACACAGCTTTCGATTAGTAACCCTCATCTTTTAGAAACCACTTGACCAAAATTGTAACGAACAGTTTTTTAAAATCTTCAAGGAAATAGCCTTTATGGAAATCTTCATTTTGTCACAAAACTCCTTTGTTGAAAAGATATTTTGACGCTTTTATTGGCTTGAGCGTGACATGAACCGGATTTCTGCCAAATTTCGTCACATTTTAATGAGTAGATTTAAAGATATTGTAGTTTATTTACGTTGCTTATGAAAGTACGCATGTTCAGCTCTAGTTCAACAGGCCCGCGCTGAGGTCACTTGATATGTCAAAGGCGACAAAAACATTATTTTCTGTTAAACTTTTATCAGCCTTTCCTCCCTTTTTTCTTTATGTAATGATAAAGTTGTTAAATACACAGTAAAGGGATAAATCAGATTTAGAGAAATTGTGTTCAGCAACCTTAGATGTTAAGACAAATCAAAACAAACCCAAACAAATATTGCTTATAACGGAGCAGAGACGTAATTTACACCGCCCCCCCGCCCTGTCCTACCCCCGCTCCCCCCAGTTTTAATAGCAATAATATATGGTCCCTTAAAAATGCAAATGCGTTGATAATTTACCGGCGCAGGATGTTCCATTTCCAGTATATCCAGGGCTGCAGGCGCAGGTGTAAGATCCATCAGTGTTATTACAGAAAGCATTTGCATCACAATTATGGACATTATTGGTACACTCGTTGATATCTGAAGGGAGAGAATGTATGAAGATAAAAAGAAAAAAAAAACAAATCCAAACAAATATTGCATTTTGCCTACACTACCCAGAAAGACACCCACCCAAGAATAAATGCGGGGGCCTCTGGGTCAGCAAGGACCTCAAAACCAGTTCATTGCAAAATTACCGTAAGTTTACAAGACCGCTCCTAATTACAAAACGCCCTATGGTGAAACACAAACCTCGAAAGCAACTAAGACAACTAAGTACGACACTGTCGGATACGAAAACCCAAAACTACTTTGTGGAAAAAAGAGAACGTACATCCACTACCTGCTGAAATCAACTGCGGAGGCGACAACTCGAGATCAGAGGTACGCAAAACATTTTAGCTGCAAGCAGAGAATTAAAGGGGTTTGCTGGATATCAGAATCAAAGCTAATAAAGGCAACAGGAAAAAGGGACTGGCACTGCATAGTGTGATGAACTCTGCAAGACGATTAGTTTAAGGTTTTACCAAGACACGATTTTCCATTTCCAAAGTACCCAGGATTACAAGTGCAAATATAAGATCCAATGGTATTGTTACAAAACGCATTGACATCACATGAATGGATGCTGGTTTCACACTCGTCTATATCTGAAAAAGATTGAAAAAATATTTTTGAATTGAATCGTGCATCGCTAGAGATCGTGCCTGATATGTTGTGGTTTAATTGGAAGCGCAAGCAGTTATGTTCAAATTTTAAACTGATTTTAAGTTTTAGGGTATCATTATATAGTTGATAATTAAACATAAACATATATAGAAAAAATAAAAGAAGAGAAAAAGAAAAGCTTCCTTGGATGTTTAGGGAGATGGAAGATAATTCTTGCGAAGCGAGTTTATAATCTCGTCGAGCGCGAAGCGCGCGCGCATCACGTGAACCACCCGTGCTCTTAGCCAGATGCAAAATTCGATGCCCCATAAATAAATAAATAAATAAATAAATAAATGAACAAATATTTCTATGAATATATGCTTGGTGTCCGCCAAGGGAAGAAGCTAGGAAAGGTCTGTAAAGCAGCATTTGAGCCATTTGCTGGTATTCAAAATATAATGGAATTATAGGATTTATATATTTGCCTTTTGTTGTGTCTAATTCTTAACGCGATTTCTAAATTTGTTCCACCGGAATAGATATGACAAGAAAAATCATATTCTAGAGTACGTCCGGTTATCGTATTTTTGGAAATGACGTTATGTATGACTCAATGTCTTACCTCTTCCTTCATGTATACTTTATATAATGATGTCGCAGAATAAAAAGGCAAAATACCAACCCCACCCCTACAGGAATTCTTTTGTTGACTGCATTGCACTGGACATCTACGAGACGGTTTACGGACAAACTAGCCGATTCATTGTAGCTGGATTACTAGTAACCATCTCAAAAAAAAAAAACAACAACTCTACATCCTTACTCGAAATCCAACTCGAAATCCTAACTCGAAAATCCAACTCAAATTCCTATCTCGAAAATCCAGCTCGAAATCTAACTCGAAATCCTAACTCGGAAGTTAGTTTATTTGTCTCCAATAGTTTGCCCCTTCGAATAGTTCTTTTACAGAAAAAAAGTCGCTGACTGTGTGCCCCCGAATCAGGGGCACCCAACGACGGTTTCCTCCTAAACGCATTGAAAAGTCTTTTTATGCTATCCAGAGTACTTTTAGATCTCTAGAAATGTATTCTAAGCAGCACTATAAAAGTTGCATCTGTTCGGTCATCCTAGGGAAACTGAAGGCTTTTCGAAATTACAAGGGCTTCGCTGTTATTTTTCCGAAAATTTTAGATGCAGTTGAACGAACTCGGTGAGAATTTTTCTTGTTCTTCTTTTCATCTCATTTTTGAATCCGAAAATTTTCGGTTTTTCTTTTTCTACGAAAATTAGCCTAACATAAGGAGTAAAAGATGAAAAATTACACTTCAGAAAATAGTAGGGAATTTTTTAGATAAGTTTCGAAAATCGTACCTGAATGGAGCGCTCTTCTGGAAATTTTTAGCCGTATTCAAGCAATAGAATATTCTAGGCAATATTTGCTTCTGCGAACAGATATTTTACAGAAAACAGTCGTTGGGTGCCCCTGCCGAATCAGGAATGCAAAAATACTGAAACAAAATGTAAAATTCCCCGGGAAACAAATTTGTCTTTTAAACTTACCCTAGCTGAGATACCTACTGCAAAACAAGTGCGCGGGCTCTTGAAAAATAAAGTTCTAAGAGCGGACTAAACCGAGATATGACAGGGCAAGTTTAGAAGCCTTTAATCGCTAGTTGAGGGTGTTACGAGTAGACAGCCGGACTTTCAAAAAGTTGTAACGTTTGCTTACCCTTCACCACGGCGTCAAGTTTTGATCCTTTAGCATCATCATCATCAACATCATCACTTCGAGATATTATCAATGACAACATTATAGCAGCAATAACCAAAATGACAACGGCAACAAGACAGATGAAGACAGTTAACATGATCAGCATTCGCCGGTCATTTCCACGACTTGGACTCTCTATGGTGGCGTCACTCATGTTCTCCCTCGTTCACTTTTATCAGCCCAGACTCTGAAGCTGTCAACTTGTTTCCACTGCCACTACAAATAATATCCCACTTTTTCAGGGATATTAAACTTATACAATCTATTTAAAATATTCCGTTCTGTTGTTGGCCCCAGGCATTCTCCCACTTTTAACACACGCAAATGCTACGCAGGAGCCCCCTTTTTTCGCACTAAAAATAACCTCTCGCTTTGTTTGCATTGCAGACAGGATTGTGTACGGGAAACAGTTATTTAAGTCCTCAGCTTCTACGTTCGTTATAAGGATGTAAGATCTTGAGCCGGCGTAAAGATGCATGATGATAGCCCATGCGTCATGATAAAGTGATTTTACTTGAACAGTGAAACAAGTACGAACAAATAGTAAGTGCAATACAGCAGGGACACCCTCCGAGAAAATAGTTCGAAACCACTTAAACATAGCATTGTTAAACCTACTCTAGTATTTAAAGGGCAGATATAGGCTTATTTTTTATCCCCTAAAAATTTTTCATCTGTTCTGATTTCCTAGTCTTACTAGTGATCCAAAAATTATGGGGATCAAAACTCACCTTTTCGAAAATTTCAGCCAGAAAAAAGGCTCCCGAAAATTCTTGGTGACCTCAGGGTAAAAGTACGTTAAAAACATGGGCAATTATATGATTTTTTAGATGTTCAAAAATCCTAGAAGAGGCAGCCAAGCAAGAAATTTTAAAACAAATGTTCCGAAAATTCTAGATTTCAAATCGTCTCCCGAACAGATATTTTCCCAAAACTGACGTTGGGTGCCCCTGATATAGCAAGGGGTAAACAAAAGAAGGCAATCGAATTAGTGCATAATAGTGTAAAGTAGAAAGTATTTGAATTTCTGGTATTATGGGAATGAACTTGATTTGTCATTAAAAACATTTCTTTAAATACATTAGGAAGCAGGCCTACTTAATAAGAATACATGAACTTTCCAACTTGAAAAAAGTAAATTTGAGATAATTTCAGTATTTGCAAACGTTTGAATTTAGGATCAGTGTGAGCATCAAATGGCGTCTTGGAAATAATTCGAATTTTTTTTTTTCTGAAGTAGAACAATACGATTCAAGTTTGTGGGATACGTCGAAACCCATACTGAAGTACAATATACAAGATAAGGATAAACCAAGTTGTAATAAAGGCTACGTAAAGAAGTAACAGGAAGGCAAAAGCTTTATTTATGTATTACTGCAATCACTCATTCAATCAATCTAGACACGAGGCTGCTTTGGCAATGGTGATCTAAAAAAAAAAAAGATCTTTCGCATGGCTATCCCAAGACAAAATAGCTGAATTTCTGACTAAAACTGAACGGAAGAAATGCAAGAATACGCAGTAACACGGTAAAGAACTGGCGTAAACATGCATGGCATTTAAATTTCCTAGGTGATAATAACTACTGGTGCTGTAATGCAGATTTCTCACTGTCATTTTCTTAAGGGTCAAAATCGTGGTTTCACAGCCCGCAGCCAGAGTATAAAAAGAGACAGTTTAATAAAAAGGGTGTTTTCAGACCCCACAGTAAGAGGGATAATTTGCTTTTTAATCGATCGTGGTTTTACGCACGGGAGCACATTTAAATATAACTTAATTATATATATAACTTAACTTAAAGTCACGAGATAGTCGTATGATATTTTTAAATCAATTACGTTTTAACCCAAAAAATCAAATATATTTGATATAAATTAATCCAGCTAGTGGTCTATTATCAATGGTGCGTTCTGATTGGTTGAGCTGCTACTAGGCTATATGTTATAGTCCACTAGTAGCGAAAAGCGCCGGCTTTGAAAGCCAAAACAACGGCGGCTGAATCGCGTTTTCCTAGCTAAAGGGGGGGGGGGTGGGGTGATCATCCAGACCCTGACATAATGAGGAGCCTGGCCTCACTTTGGTCTAAAAATAAGGTGGGGGGAGGGCGGCCCCCTTGGGCTCCTCCCCTAGATCCGCCACTGATCTGGTATTTTCCCCTATCAACGTAAAAATTGGACAATTGATTCACTAATTGATTGGTTTATTTGTTTTCGTCACTTTACAGGTTACATATACTGAAAAATATAGAAAAAGATAGTGACGGGAAAGCCTGTACTGGAAGCCTGGGGCTTATATGGGGTCCAGGCTCTCCCTAGATTAGTTTAAGTAGACATATAACATTAGGGAAAAGACGATGCGATTTTACAAAATAAATCACAGTAGAAACTAGAATACAGGAAAAGAGAAGAATAATTAACAATTAAAGAATAAGGCTGAGTATCTTATGAGGAATTATGGAGATTGAGGTGGGTGTTATCAGTCGAGGCCGAGGCCGAGGCGGATAACACCCTCCGAGATCTCCATAATTCTTCATATGATGCGAAAGCCGCATTCAATAATTGTTTTATTATCCATTCGAAATAATTCCTAGTTTAAAAACATGGCTAAAACATGCTTACCTCCATCGATCCATCGATGTTAAGTTCATCTTCGATACTACACGTTTAGGTTTTGTTCAGCTCCGCAAATATTCTCTAAATAGCAGATGTCGCCCTTCGAGTTGCCTTCTTGCTGTTCTTGCCATGTTTTTAGCTATTTTTTCGACTAGTTAACGTTCTTACTCTTGAAACGAGTGAATTGTCCGCCATTTTTCAAGTTCACAACCAAAACAACTCAACCTCGTCCCCAGGTCTTCTCGGTTAACGGTGCATTCACCTGCAAGAACGCTGCATTTTTGACGTCAGTTCCTCGCTAAACACAAAATTCTTCCAAATTTGGTCATCAGTAACTGGTTATGGTGAATTATGCGCGTGCTTTTAGCCAATCAAAATAGGTGAAATATTTTGAATGAATAATAAGGGATCTTACTAGCTTCAAACTCGCGATATCCTAGGATATAACTTTTATTATGTTTCTATCTTATTTCTTTAATGACTCATTTCTTGTTATTATATTGTATTTCAAATTATTACTATTTTTACTAGTATTATTAGTCTTGCTTACCATACGAACTAAGTCGTCACGTTTATAAGAGCCGATAGGAACAGATAAAATTGTACTAAATTCTTGTGCCAAATTATTGTTAGTTAATCACTAGTTTTAATTTTATAACTTGTAATTGTTACACGGCATGTCTGAAAACCAGATTGCTGAGCCATTGTTTACCGTGTTTAAAGAAAGTTGATTGATTGATTGATTGATAGATTGCCGTCCCGTTACGGCAAGTGGAACACGGAGTCTTGTAATAAGGTACATTTTCTAATAAGCACAATTAAAATACTACAATGGGTTTATTTAAAAAGGGTTGTTGCTATTAGAAATACGGATTACAACTTTTTGCAAAGATTTTAATTTCGGGAATGAAAATACACCGACTATTCGAATTTTTTTCAAATCTACATTTCATGTTCAAATCGCTCGGATGATCAAGTTGTTCAACTTCATTTTCGAGGTCAGAACCATTAGAATCATTTAAAAGCTACAAAGAAAGTTTCTCCAACATTGAAGAACACAATAAGTTTTTTTTTTCCATTCAAAGTTGGGTATTCGTTGTCCCCTAAAGGTAGCTCCAACAATAGCCCAACATTGGGCAGAGTACTGAGGGAGGGAAAGGTACATTTTTTCTTATGAAGTCGGCATAAGGTCACAAACGCTGAAAGAGTGACATAGTATCGCAACTTACCTTTTCGCAAATTGCTAAAAAAACAAACAAACAAAAACAAAACAAAACAAAAAAGCCTCGCCAAGCTTTAACGTTTCGCAGATGACCCCTTGGAAAGCAATATTAAAGCCGGAATTTGGCCTGTCGAAACGTCTGAACGGTTGCCGTATTTTGACGATGTCAAGAAATAAACTCTGACACCAGAACAACGTGCTCTTGGCATGCCGTCGTCAAGAGCGTAAGAGAGTTCGGATGTTACTATTCTAACAACTGCAGTATATCTTTCATTATTACTTATGGCGATCTCTTGTGAGAAGTGCACTTCAAACGTCTTCTCACTGGAGCTAGTAGGGTAGGTTCTAGTCTCGTTAGCGATCAACAAGCCCTTTTCCCCGTACAAACTCATGGTGACCAGGAAAGTAGTTGAATTGACGCTTTGGACTCCCCACAGACGGTACCCTGACAGAATGGCGTCATTCTGAATTGTCAAGAAATCGATAGCGTCCACTTTATCACTGCCACTAGGATTAGTTGAGTAAGCCCAAAAATATGACTGGTTTGGCATCCTGGATGCGCTGCGCCAGCAGTCAGTCTGATATATTTCTGAAAAGGGAGATAGAAAGAAAACAGTAAACTATTCCACGCTGCAACAATTATCGCATCGCATTCAGATCGGGCAAGAGAGAATGATCTCTCTTGGATCAGGGGAAATTCGGCTCAACCGTCTCAGAACCCCCGGAATGGACAGGTTAATTCCTCGTGAAAGAGAGTTTATAAACTTGTCGCGCGCGCAGCGGGCGAGCAGCGCGTGGGTCGCACGAAGTCTGAGCGGCATGCAAAGCCGGTTGGCCCATATATATTTGTATATATCGGTCACTTACGGTTGGTATCCGGTTGACGTCACCTGTGGTTACGCAGCGTTGTGTGTTTCCAGGCAACATTCGAGTGCAGAGTGAACCGGTTTATTGGGGAATCATTCGACATGAAGGTGAAAGCAATTTTTGCTATCGGTAAATCACGAGCAATTTCCTTAAATGCGAATGACCCAGAACAGCAAACACAACAACTCTGGATTCAACAAGTGGCTGCAAATCCTTGACGGAAAAGATCATGACCACCGAGACTCCTTTAAGAGCAAAAACACCGAATTGAGATTCAGCGCGAGCAACGAAGAAAACGATAACAGCAAGAAACCTCGCAGCAGAGAGAATATCGCTTTGCACAACGAAGAAGAAGCCGTCAACAAGGGACAGGAGACATACACAGTCAGCTGTACAGAGGTGGCGACAAAATACCACAATTACAACGGCTAGGACAAAACGCTGACCCCAGTTCAACTGACCCCCTACTGACCCCCTCTTAAATTCACTGGAAATTATTAATTTAAAAACTCCAACCTCGTAATATAGTTTTACTAGTGTTAGTTATAATGATATACCGGCGGTGCATGCTGTTCCATTTCCAGTATATCCAGGAGCGCATGTGCAGGTGTAAGATCCATCAGTGTTATTACAGAACGCATTGGGATCACAGTTATGGACGTTAGTCGTGCACTCGTTGATATCTAAAAGGAGAGAATAATCAAGAAAATATTAAAGATGACGCGGGCAAAACGGATCAACGAAACATAATTCCAATACTGCAGCAGAAACGATTTTTGATATACCGGTGCATGCTGTTCCATTTCCAGCATATCCAGGAGCGCATGTGCAGGTATAAGATCCATCTGACCCATCAGTGTTATTACAGAACGCATTGGGATCACAGTTATGGACGTTAGTCGTACACTCGTTAATATCTAAAAAGACAGTAAAAAAAAGCTCTTATTTTTACAGACGGGTTTTCATAAGTAAGCTGAGTAAGGGTGAACTTCCACTGTCACGTGATCTTTACGTACGTGTAAAGGCACGTAAATTCTACTCGAGTAAATAAAATAGAGGCAAGGTACAAAGTGTCGAGCTTAAACTTGAAGTTGAGCGAAGTTCAACTTTGACGTTGCGTGCGGCCTTTTATGCATTGCCTCTATTTCATTTGCGAACGTAAATTTTACGCACCGGCACGTAAAAATTACGCGACAGTGGAAATCCACCCTAAGGTAATACGGAGAGAAGCACTCTATGTATGGGATGCTTCTTTCTTAGACCTCATAATATAGTTTTACAAGTATTGGTCGTAATGACATACCGGTGCATGCTGTTCCATTTCCAGTGAATCCAGGGCTGCATGTGCAGTTATATGATCCATCAGTGTTATTGCAGAAAGCATTCGCAGCACATTTATGGACGTTAGTCGTACACTCATTGATATCTGAAAGGAAAGTATACAAAACGCATTGACATTATCACAGTTATGGACCTTAGACGTGCGCTCGTTATGTCTAAAAGGAAGGTAAAAAACCCTTATTTTAAGGAGAAAGACGTCTATGAATAAAATAATAAGCCTTGGATAGGAAAGCTTTCTACGTATGAGGTTCTTCTCTTTCGGACAACACAACATACAGTCAAGCCTATCGTATTCTAAGCGACCAAACAAAATGCGAAGTGTATTGGTGGTCTCATACGGGAGGCGGCCGCTTACATGCAAGAATCAAACAACAGGGTGCCTTTTCCAAGAAAAATCTCGTACTTTATCAGATCAGACCGGCTTCTATAAGTACACTGAGAGATATGTTTGGAGAATTACTTAATGAATTTATGGGGTACTGCTTCTTTCTTGGACCTAACTAAAATAATTTTACATACATTAGGCAGGATGATTTACCAATGCATGATGTTCCATTTCCAGTGTATCCAGGGCTGCATGTGCAGTTATAAGACCCCTGAGTGTTATTGCAGAAAGCATTGGCATCATAGTTATGGACGTTAGTGGTACACTCGTTAATATCTGAAAGGAAAGAATTATTAAGAAAGTATTAAAGATGATGCGGGCAAACCGGATCAACGAAACATAATTCCAATACTGCAGCAGAAACGATTCTTAATATACCGGTGCATGCTGTTTCATTTCCAGTATGCACTTGTTATATCTAAAAGGAAGGTATTTTCAGCAGAACGATGTCTATGAATGAAATAATAAGCCTTGGATAAGGAACGTTTCTATGTATGGGGTTCCTCTCTTTCGGACTTCTTAACATACAGTCAAGCTTCTCGTATTCTAAGCGACCAAACAAGATGCAAGTGTAAGTGGTCTCATACGGGAGGTGGCCGCTTATAAGATTCAAACAACAGGGTGCCTTTTCCAAGAAATAGCTTGTACTTTATCAGATGGGCTTCCATAAGTACGCTGAGAGATATGTTTGGAGAATTACTTAATGCATTTATGGGGTACCGCTTGTTTCTTGGACCTCGCTAAAATAATTTTACATGCATTAGGCACGATGATTTACCGATGCATGATGTTGCATTTCCAGTATATCCAGGGCTACATGTGCAGTTGTAAGACCCCTGAGTGTTATTGCAGAAAGCATTGGCATCACAGTTATGGACTTTGGCTGTACACTCGTTAATATCTGAAAAGAGAGAATTAAAGTTGCCTGAACACAGTTTGAGAAAGATAGGTTTGGAGAATTACTTAATGCATTTATGGGGTACTGCTTCTTTCTTGCACCTCGCTAAAATAATTTTACATGCATTAGGCAGGATGATTTACCGATGCATGATGTTCCATTTCCAGTGTATCCAGGGCTGCATGTGCAGTTATAAGACCCCTGAGTGTTATTGCAGAAAGCATTGGCATCACAGTTATGGACGTTAGTGGTACACTCGTTAATATCTGAAAGGAAAGAATTATTAAGAAAGTATTAAAGATGATGCGGGCAAAACAGATCAACGAAACCAAGAGCCATAATGGCTCTTGACGAAACATAATTCAAATACTGCAGCTCAAACGATTTTAAGCTCGCCCACCCCCCAAAAAAGCAAAAACAAAAACAAAAGCAAAACATAAAAAGAAAAACGAAACTTGAAATGAAAGGAAATAAAAGAAATCAAAGAGTTAAAATACATACATTGCTTTTTTTTTTAAAAAATGTATTGGTCATGATAATTTACCGGTGCAAGATATTCCATTTCCATTGTACCCAGGGCTACACGTGCATTTATAAGATCCCTCAGTGTTATTACAGAAAGCATTGGCATCACAGTTATGGACGTTGGCTGTGCACTCGTTAATATCTGAAAGGAGAGAATTAAGGTGCCTGAACACAGTTTAAGAAAGATATGTTTGGAGAATTACTTAATTAATTTATAGGGTACTGCTTCTTTCTTGGACCTAAATAAAATAATTTTACATACATTAGGCAGGATGATTTACCGATGCATGATGTTCCATTTCCAGTGTATCCAGGGCTACATGTGCAGTTATAAGACCCCTGAGTGTTATTGCAGAAAGCATTGGCATCACAGTTATGGACGTTAGTGGTACACTCGTTAATATCTGAAAGGAAAGAAGTATTAAGAAAGTATTTAAGATGATGCGGGCAAACCGGATCAACGAAACATAATTCCAATACTGCAGCAGAAACGATTTTTGATATACCGGTGCATGCTGTTTCATTTCCAGTATGCACTTGTTATATCTAAAAGGAAGGTATTTTCAGCAGAACGATGTCTATGAATGAAATAATAAGCCTTGGATAAGGAACGTTTCTATGTATGGGGTTCCTCTCTTTCGGACTTCTTAACATACAGTCAAGCTTCTCGCTAAGCGACCAAACAAGATGCAAGTGTAAGTGGTCTCATATATATACGGTAGGTGGCCGCTTATAAGATTCAAACAACAGGGTGCCTTTTCCAAGAAATAGCTTGTACTTTATCAGATGGGCTTCCATAAGTACGCTGAGAGATATGTTTGGAGAATTACTTAATGCATTTATGGGGTACTGCTTCTTTCTTGCACCTCGCTAAAATAATTTTACATGCATTAGGCAGGATGATTTACCGATGCATGATGTTCCATCTCCAGTGTATCCAGGGCTGCATGTGCAGTTATAAGACCCCTGAGTGTTATTGCAGAAAGCATTGGCATCACAGTTATGGACTTTGGCTGTACACTCGTTAATATCTGAAAGGAGAGAATTAAGGTGCCTGAACACAGTTTGATAGGTTGTGGATCATAACCAATTATTGGGGTTTTATTTAAGACTCATTGCGGGTATAACGCTAAAATTTTGATTCAGCACATCAAACAATCTATATTTATCAGACATGACATTTATTAAGTTAAAAGTGAGACTTGGATTGTTGCCATGGCAACATGGAAGTTTGACAACAAGCCAAAAAATTTCAATTTATTAGGTTTAAGCAAAATTCAGTCATTGGATTTTCTTAGAAAATTGAACACAGCTTTCGATTAGTAACCCTCATCTTTTAGAAACCACTTGACCAAAATTGTAACGAACAGTTTTTTAAAATCTTCAAGAAAATAGCCTTTATGGAAATCTTGATTTTGTCACAAAACTCCTTTGTTGAAAAGATATTTTGACGCTTTTATTGGCTTGAGCGTGACATGAACAGGATTTCTGCCAAATTTCGTCACATTTTAATGAGTAGATTTAAAGATATTGTAGTTTATTTAAGTTGCTTATGAAAGTACTCATGTTCAGCTCTAGTTCAACAGGCCCGCGCTGAGGTCACGTGATATGTCAAAGGCGACAAAAACATTATTTTCTGTTAAACTTTTTATCAGCCTTTCCTCCCTCTTTTTCTTTATGTAATGATAAAGTTGTTAAAATACACAGTAAAGGGATAAATCCGATTTAGAGAAATTGTGTTCAGCAACCTTAGATGTTAAGACAAATCAAAACAAACCCAAACAAATATTGCTTATAACGGAGCAGAGACGTAATTTACACCGCCCCCCTGCCCTGTCCTACCCCCCTCCCCCAGTTTTAATAGCAATAATATATGGTCGCTTAAAAATGCAAATGCGTTGATAATTTACCGGCGCAGGATGTTCCATTTCCAGTATATCCAGGGCTGCATGCGCAGGTGTAAGATCCATCAGTGTTATCACAGAAAGCATTTGCATCACAATTATGGACATTAGTGGTACACTCGTTAATATCTGAAGGGAGAGAATGTATGAAGATAAAAAAAAAAAAAAAAACAAATCAAAACAAATATTACATTTTGCCTACACTACCCAGAAAGACACCCACCCAAGAATAAATGCGGGGGCCTCTGGGTCAGCAAGGACCTCAAAACCAGTTTATTGCAAAATTACCGTAAGTTAACAAGACCGCTCCTAATTACAAAACGCCCTATGGTGAAACACAAACCTCGAAAGCAACTAAGACAACTAAGTACGACACTGTCGGATACGAAAACCCAAAACTACTTTGTGGAAAAAAAAAGAGACATCCACCACCTGCTGAAATCAACTGCGGAGGCGACAACTCGAGATCAGAGGTACGCAAAAACATTTTAGCTGCAAGCAGAGAATTAAAGGGGTTTGCTGGATATCAGAATCAAAGCTAATAAAGGCAACAGGAAAAAGGGACTGGCACTGCATAGTGTGATGAACTCTGCAAGACGATTAGTTTAAGGTTTTACCAAGACACGATTTTCCATTTCCAAAGTACCCAGGATTACAAGTGCAAATATAAGATCCAATGGTATTGTTACAAAACGCATTGACATCACATGAATGGATGCTGGTTTCACACTCGTCTATATCTGAAAAAGATTGAAAAAATATTTTTGAATTGAATCGTGCATCGCTAGAGATCGTGCCTGATATGTTGTGGTTTAATTGGAAGCGCAAGCAGTTATGTTCAAATTTTAAACTGATTTTAAGTTTTAGGGTATCATTATATAGTTGATAATTAAACATAAACATATATAGAAAAATAAAAGAAGAGAAAAAGAAAAGCTTCCTTGGATGTTTAGGGAGATGGACGATAATTCTTGCGAAGCGAGTTTATAATCTCGTCGAGCGCGAAGCGCGCGCGCATCACGTGAACCACCCGTGCTCTTAGCCAGATGCAAAATTCGATGCCCCATAAATAAATAAATAAATAAATAAATGAACAAATATTTCTATGAATATATGCTTGGTGTCCGCCAAGGGAAGAAGCTAGGAAAGGTCTGTAAAGCAGCATTGGAGCCATTTGTTGGTATTCAAAATATAATGGAATTATAGGATTTATATATTTGCCTTTTGTTGTGTCTAATTCTTAACGCGATTTCTAAATTTGTTCCACCGGAATAGATATGACAAGAAAAATCACATTCTAGAGTACGTCCGGTTATCGTCTTACCTCTTCCTTCATGTATGCTTTATATAGTGATGCCGCAGAATAAAAAGGCAAAATACCAACCCCACCCCTACAGGAATTCTTTTGTTGACTGCATTGCACTGGACATCTACGAGACGGTTTACGGACAAACTAGCCGATTCATTGCAGCTGGATTACTAGTAACCATCTCAAAAAAAAAAACAACAACAACTCTACATCCTTACTCGAAATCCAACTCGAAATCCTCACTCGAAAATCCAACTCGAAAATCCAAATCGAAATCCTAACTCGAAAATCCAACTCAAATTCCTATCTCGAAAATCCAGCTCGAAATCTAACTCGAAATCCTAACTCGGAAGTTAGTTTATTTGTCTCCAATAGTTTGCCCCTCAGTTCGAATAGTTCTTTTACAGAAAAAAAGTCGCTGACTGTGTGCCCCCGAATCAGGGGCACCCAACGACGGTTTCCTCCTAAACGCATTGAAAAGTCTTTTTATGCTATCCAGAGTACTTTTAGATCTCTAGAAATGTATTATAAGCAGCAATATAAAAGTTGCATTTGTTCGGTCATCCTAGGGAAACTGAAGGCTTTTCGAAATTACAAGGGCTTCACTGTTATTTTTCCGAAAGTTTTAGATGCAGTTGAACGAACTCGGTGAGAATTTTTCTTGTTCTTCTTTTCATCTCATTTTTGAATCCGAAAATTTTCGGTTTTTCTTTTTCTACGAAAATTAGCCTAACATAAGGAGTAAAAGATGAAAAATTACACTTCAGAAAATAGTAGGGAATTTTTTAGATAAGTTTCGAAAATTGTACCTGAATGGAACGCTCTTCTAGAAATTTTTTAGCCGTATTCAAGCAATAGAATGTTCTAGACAATATTTGCCTCTCCGAACAGATAGTTTACAGAAAACAGTCGTTGGGTGTCCCTGCCGAATCAGGAATGCAAAAATACTGAAACAAAATGTAAAATTCCCCGGGAAACAAATTTGTCTTTTAAACTTACCCTAGCTGAGATACCTACTGCAAAATAAGTGCGCGGGCTCTTGAAAAATAAAGTTCTAAGAGCGGACTAAACCGAGATATGACAGGGCAAGTTTAGAAGCCTTTAATCGCTAGTTGAGGGTGTTACGAGTAGACAGCCGGACTTTTAAAAAGTTGTAACGTTTGCTTACCCTGCACCACGGTGTCAAGTTTTGATCCTTTAGCATCATCATCAACATCATTATTTCGAGATATTATCAATGACAACATTATAGCAGCAATAACCAAAATGACAACGGCAATAAGACAGATGAAGACAGTTAACATGATCAGTATTCGCCGGTCATTTTCACGACTTGGACTCTCTATCGTGGGGTCACTCATGTTCTCCCTCGTTCACTTTTATCAGCCCAGACTCTGAAGCTGTCAACTTGTTTCCACTGCCACTACTGACAAATAATATCCCACTTTTTCAGGGATATTAAACTTATACAATCTATTTAAAATATTCCGTTCTGTTGTTGGCCCCAGGCATTCTCCCACTTTTAACACACGCAAACGCTTCGCAGGAGCCCCCTTTTTTCGCACTAAAAATAACCTCTTGCTCTTAAAAATAACCTCTTGCTTTGTTTGCATTGCAGACAGGATTGTCTACGGCTGATTTCAAGAAACATTTATTTAAGTCCTCAGCTTCTACGTTCGTTATAAGGATGTAAGATCTTGAGCCGGCGTAAAGATGCATGATGATAGCCCATGCGTCATGATAAAGTGATTTTACTTGAATAGTGAGACAAGTACGAACAAATAGTAAGTGCAATATAGCAGGGACACCCTCCGAGAAAATAGTTCGAAACCACTTAAACATAGCATTGTTAAACCTACTCTAGTATTTAAAGGGCAGATATAGGCTTATTTTTATCCCCTAAAAATTTTTCATCTGTTCTGATTTCCTAGTCTTACTAGTGATCCAAAAATTATGGGGATCAAAACTCACCTTTTCGAAAATTTCAGCCAGAAAAAGGCTCCTGAAAATTTTTGGTGACCTCAGGGTAAAAGTACGTTAAAAACATGGGCAATTATATGATTTTTTAGATGTTCAAAAATCCTAGAAGAGGCAGGCAAGCAAGAAATTTTAAAACAAATGTTCCGAAAATTCTAGATTTCAAATCGTCTCCCGAACAGATATTTTCCCAAAACTGACGTTGGGTGCCCCTAATATAGCAAGGGGTAAACAAAAGAAGGCAATCGAATTAGTGCATAATAGTGTAAAGTAGAAAGTATTTGAATTTCTGGTATTATGGGAATGAACTTGATTTGTCATTAAAAACATTTCTTTAAATACATTAGGAAGCAGGCCTACTTAATAAGAATACACGAACTTTCCAACTTGAAAAAAGTAAATTTGAGATAATTTCAGTATTTGCAAACGTTTGAATTTAGGATCAGTGTGAGCATCAAATGGCGTCTTGGAAATAATTCGAATTTTTTTTTTCTGACGTAGAACAATACGATTCAAGTTTGTGGGATACTTCGATGCCCAAACTAAGTTATAAAAAAGGCTGCGTAAAGAAGTAACAGGAAGGCAAAAGCTTGATATATATATTACTCCAATCACTCATTCAATCAATCTAGAAAAGAGGCTGCTTTGGCAATGGTGGTCTAAAAAAAAGTCTCTTTGGCATGGCAATTTCTGACTAAAACTGAACGGAAGAAATGCAAGAATACGCAGTAACACGGTGAAGAACGGGCGTAAAAAAGCATGGCAATTTAATTTCCTAGGTGATAATAACTACTGGTGCTGTAATGCAGATTTCTCACTGTCATTTTCTTAAGGGTCAAAATCGTGGTTTCACAGCCCGCAGCCAGAGTATAAAAAGAGACAGTTTAATAAAACGGGTGTTTTCAGACCCCACAGTAACAGGGATAATTTGCTTTTTAATCGTGGTTTTACGCACCGGAGCACATTTAAATATACTTAATTATATATATAACTTAACTTAAAGTCACGAGATCGTCGTATGATATTTTTAAACCAATTACGTTTTAACCCAAAAAATCAAATATATATGATATAAATTAATCCAGCCAGTGGTCTATTATCAATGCTGCGTTTTGATTAGTTGAGCTGGTACTAGGCTATATGTTATAGCCCACTAATAGCGAAAAGCGCCGGCTTTGAAAGCCAAAACAATGGCGGCTGAATCGCGTTTTCCTAGCTAAAGTTGTTTTGTCTCGATATTTTTGACCAACTAGTTGGATGTTACTAAAACAATTATTCCTCTCGCCCTTCGACCTCATAGGCTATTGACTCAGAGCCCATTTGGGCTTAAGGAATAATTGTTAAATATCTGACTGGATTTGCAAAAAAATGGCTATAGAAATCTCTCTCATATACCTTCTGAGTGAGCCTTATAGTGGAGCATTTTTTTTCTTCATAGGTGCTTTTAATTTATTCAATTTGTATCGCATATTTACTGAATAGGGTGCACTAGTTAGACTTTGATGAGTTTCTCACTATTTTCCTTCGCTCTATCGTATTGACTTCTGAGTGGTTTCTTTGTATTGATTGTTTTACGTCACTCGTAAGTTACGCAGGTTCATCGACATCGAGGATGAGCCAAAAATAGGCTCTTCAGTGGGTGCAAAATACCGGTTTAACGAAAAGTTGTGTTGCTTTCTAGGATTTTTATGGTACTAGCAGGTTCCTGCTCCCTCCATGTAAAGAGCCCCTTACATGAGACCGATCGAGTGCTTTGTATGTATGAAAAGCTCAAGGAGATACTGATATTTCCCCTATGAGAGATTGAGCTACAGAATTTGTAACTGCCTATTGTTCAATTTGTTTAAAACGAAACGTTCAAATGTTACGGCTTCGCGATGTTAAACACGACTCAGTCTGCAAATCCGTTAAAATAAGGTTTAGATATCGTCAATTTGAAGGATATTTTGACCTGTCAGACAAATGAAACTTGTTTGTCCCGGAGAAGCTATTAAGCATTGCGCTCTTTCAGCCAATTCTCCCAGTTTACATTTGTACACTTCCAATACCAGCTCATTAATTTCCTCTTATTTTGCTGTTAAGTGTCTCATTTCTGTAAAGACAGCAATTAAGCGAAGCTCTTGGGCGCCGCACACAGTGAAGCACCATCGGTGAGAAAATTTGGTTATCTAGTAAGCATCCAAGAAATTTTGGATCTGACAGAATCGTCCGTACAGACGTAAGCCATTCATGTAAGCCGGGGCGAAACCTCACATTTCAAGCAACCGTGCGTTTTGGCGGTAAATCGCATGACCACCCGAACTTTTAGAGAGAAAAAAACAACAATAAAGTTAAAGAAAGTTCAGAAGAAAATTCAAATTTTGTTTTTATTTTTCTGTCAAATCGACTATAAGAAAAAATTTTACCATTCAAAACTTTTTTTCTGAGTAGTTTGAATGGTAACATCATGTCCATGTAAATTTTGTACGATTTTTAAACTGACCTCTAACGACCAACTAAGAAAAGAAGAAGAAGAAGAACAACAACAACAACAACAAAAAAACGTCTCACATAACGTAACAGTAAAGCCCTACCATGAAGCAATGACCTCCATTTCTCTTCTTCAGGTGGGGAGTAGAAAGGGAAGCTCTGCTTGAACCACGGTGAGTCATTGAAGTCGACGAAGCCCGAACTTACCGACTTATCAATCACGTTTGCTCGTGTCAATCTTGTTTCGAGAGTGCGAGCATTCGTTTAGTAATAAACTCGTGGTGGTAACTGAGCCACAATCTAGGACAAAAAGTGTTAAGAATTTTGCACTTTCTTACTCAAAGGAGACTCGCCCTGCGAATTTGGCACCATGATGACCCCTTCCCCCACCTTTCCCTGGTCAATGTTGTTTAGTCGGGAGCAAAAATGTTCCGGCCAAACTTCAACATTTTTTTTACGAAGAGGGGGAAGGGGGAAGCACCTTGAGTGAACGGGGCTTTAGAGGGACTCATTCTAAAATTAGACATACAAGGTGCATTTTACTTAACATTTTTGTCCAAGATTGCAGCTGTGCCAAGCGCAAAGCTTTTAGGCCTGGGTTCGAAACTGTATCCTAGCAACATACAGCGCATGCTCAACTAATATCTTTATCGATTCAAATTCAAGCAAAGTCTTTCTCCAGTATGCCAAAATCGAGAAAGTGAAAAAGGATCTACAAGCATAGTGAGTAAAGCCTTACAATTGTGTGATTTGTACTAGCCCATTGTCATTCAGGTTACCACCGGAAACACCTGAACAACTTCCATTTAAGCCACCACAAAACGAACCCCCACCCCCTCCTGCCTGAAACGAAAATACCCCGCTTCCTCCCCCAGAGTAACCTCTTCCCCCTCCAGATGTACCACCATCTTCGGCTCCCCCTCCCCCACCACCAAACCCTCCTACTGCCCCTGGGGGAGGCCCTCCGTTGTAACCACTATTCTTTTCCCCAGCTCTTTCTCCGACTCAGCCTTCAGGGCGTGACCCGCCCCTTTCACCATGTCCAGAACCCGATACGAGACATCCAGGACCAAACCAACCGGCCCCGACTCCCCCGCTGTGTAATCCCCCAGAATTACAAAGACCGGGTTGCCCTCCAACTCCTCCTCCTCGAAGATGAGCTGGGAATTTTCCAACAGAGCTGGTACCATGACTACATGCCTGTTTCATCCACCCCGTTATAACCATTGGATGCACCCCCTCCCCCTCCGGCGGCTAACAAAAGAACATGACTTGTCTTATAAACAAAGCTCCCTCCCCCTCCCCCAGTACCAGCATTATCCTCTACAGACAGTCCCAGCTGAGCGGCTGTCAAGTTAGTGGAATTTCCTCCTTGAACCTGCACTGAATCTCCACCTTTTTGTCCCACCACAATATTCAGTACAGTGCTCTCATTCAAACGAAACATGCCTTCCTTAATTGCCCCTCTGCCACCGTGATATGTCCCCGGGGTTATTCCATAGGTTGGTGCATGTGTTCCTCCTCGAGCACCCCAGGCTTTTACCAGATACACACTGGTCTTCGGAACTGAAAAATTTTGAATAATGCCATGATTTCCGATGCGTCCGTCGGTTGTGAAGGAGGAAAAGGCTGAAATCAAATACATAAATGAGGGTTAGAAAAACAGATAGGCAAGCTCATTCTGCGCTAAAAAAGGCCCGATTTTCGACATTTTCAGTTTAAATGACGTTTGTGGATAACTGTTTCTTGGGTTGTGGCATTGATTTCTTCTAATTTCCTTCTTCATTTTTAGTTGAAAGAAGACAATACCAAGGCAATAAACAACCTTTTCCCCCCAAAACACAAATCATACAAGTTGGTGATTTTAACCTACGGTAAGTTTAAAACGAAAGTGAATAAAAAACAAAACAAACAAACAAACAAAAAATTTTGAAAATAACCGTTGCATGATGTTCCATTTCCAGTGTATCCAGGGCTGCATGTGCAGTTATAAAACCCCTGAGTGTTATTGCAGAAAGCATTGGCATCACAGTTATGGGCGTTAGTCACACATTCATTAATATCTGGAAGGAGAGAAAGCAGCTGTTATTTTTGCAGGCAGGCTATTATGAATAGAGTAATAAGGAGAGAAAGTGGAGAGAGGAGCAACGTTGTATGTATATAATGGGGTGCTTCTGTTTCGGAGTTCATTATATAGTTTTATATGACTTGAACATGATTTACCGGTGCATGATGTTCCATTTCCAGTGTATCCTGGACTGCAGATGCAGTCAAAAGATCCACCAGTGTTATTACAGAAAGCATTGGCATCACAGTTATCGACGCTAATAGTACACTCGTTAATATCTGAAAGGCGAAAAAGGCCTGATGTCATGTGTGTAAATACTGAATGTTGCTATTAAACTTAATATACAACCGTTTTGTGCCCTTACGCGATTTACTGGTACACTCGTTAATATCTTAAGTTCTAAAAAGAAAAAACTTAAAGTTTTATTTATCAGTTTAACATATTGGCAAATACAAAGACAGAAAGGGGGTAGGATCAACCCATAATTAATTGCCATTTGTCTGTATTTTAGCTTTGCTGTTTTGCCAGCAGAGGACTGAATATCAAAACCAAAGGCGATATCACTTAATATAGAAGTTTGCAATGCAATCTCCGAGAAGAGTTGAATTGGGGGGAGGGGGGTCATGTCTATGAAACAGGCCGGAATGCTTGTTCGAACCTTTTAGGCGTGTAAATTGCACATTTTTAAATCGTTCGCGCTATTAAAAAAAACAAAAATAAATAAACAAATAAATCGAGATGAATTGATAGTATGATAATAACCACTTAGGGTTGTGGCCAATAAGATGCACAAATCAGAGTATGAATTGAACTAATTGTTTAACATTTACCAGTACAATATGTTCCATTTCCGCTATATCCTCGATTACAGGAGCAGAAAAACGATCCCTCGGTGTCATTGCAATATGCATTAACATCGCAATTGTGGGTGTTGTTTGCGCATTCGTCTACATCTGTTAAAGAAAAAATGGTTTGTTACAATGAGTGGCGAAAAATATGCGTCGCGCGAGAAACATTACAAGACAAAACAGACGCATGGTAAAACAAACAAACGAAATGACTTTTACCCCTGCACACTTGTCCATCTCCAAAGTAACCTGACTTGCAAGTACATCGATAGGATCCACTTGTGTTGTTACAAAAAACGATGACATCACATGAGTGATTGTTGGTTGAACACTCGTCAATATCTTGAGGAATTTAAAGGGGATATGTCACATAAAGCATCAAAACTGAAACAGTGGGAACCATCACCAAATTGAATGCAGCAAAAATAACCGATCAAAACGTTAAAATATGGTATTTATAAAACAGCAAATACAAATCTGAAAGTTAGCAGGGATGTTAAAACTTGATCAAGCGGATTGCAATTGTGGTTTTTGACAACTTGTCACGCTAACAGTTTTTTGCAAAATGCATTTGTTAAAATTTGTTTTCTACCGTTGTGATTCTGTCATTTAGAAGTTATATTAGTCATATATATTTGACAGCGAATAAGGAGTGTAACTGGCATTACAGACAAAATCAGAATTTATAGGTTTCCGGGAAACTGCTCACTTACCCCTCCCTTAAGCCAACATTAACACTTACTTCTCAGTTAGGGTAGAATGTTGACTTAGGGGAGGGGTAGGTGGCTGGTTTCCCACAAAAGTATAAAGATCCTGTCAGGATCAAATAAATTAACCAGTCGTAGCTTAGCCTCTTAAAGTATCTTTTTTTTAGCAATTGTTATTACTGTTGTCATGGAGACACCAAGGGCTTAACCCTTTTTCAGTGTCAAAACTGTTTTTTACAGTGAGAGGCCGAGAGGTGTTTGAACTCTTGCTCCCTGATGAAATTCGATATTTTCTTCATTACCGTAAATGATCTAATAAACGCTCCCCCTACGCTGTTAAGTTTGTATTAAACGCCCCCTCTCTAATAAACGCCCCCCCGTAAAAATTGCTCCAAAATACTAGGAAATAGGAAAATAGAGCAAAATCAATCAATTTATTAATTTCATTGTTTGATTAACATCGGTTTGTGTATTATGTCATGTTCAATTTCAAGTTCAAAGTAAGGATAGCGCTCTTTGATCTTCGTGATCTCGGTACGCACTCTTTAAAGTACCCTCTTGATTGTAGCAAAAGGGAAAAAAAATTAAATTAGAAACCTTGGAGTGCAAAAGCTGTCAGCGGGCAGTCGAGATTCTGTGACAACACAAACGTTTTTGGCCGAAAGCATATTGTATTACAAGTAACAAGAATGAACGCCTCTCTCTTTTAAACGCCTCCCATCTATTAAACGCCTCCTCTTGGACCCCTAAAATTTAATAGACGCCCCGGGCGTTTAATAGGTCATTTACGGTGTCTCTACAAGACAATTTTGTGTTTAGGTGAAGGCACTGAGCAATGACTTCAACCCAGAATCAACCAAAAACAGCAATATCCCGGTGACGTGGCCCTTAATTAGAGTTTAATTTGCTAAGTATCTTTGATAATAACCATTGCATGATGTTCCATTTCCAGTGTATCCAGGGGTACACGTGCAGTTATAAGATCCCTCAGTGTTATTGCAGAAGGCATTGGCATCACATTTATGGACGTTGGTTGTACACTCGTTGATATCTGAAAGTCGAACAAAACCATATTGTAATTCACATTTACATTCACATATTTGATAACAGAGACAGAGAGAGGACATAATTAGCACAAAATGTTGATACAGCGATGATGTAATGGTGGCGTTTATTGCTAGCTATTGCTCTTTTCTTTACTCTGTCAAAGCCTGCGAATGCAGCTGTCTCTCCTTGCTCACGTTTCGCGGAATGGACGTCTGCGCGCCAGCAAATTTTTAACTGGCCGGGAGTGCGTAAATAAGACCAACAAAGGAAAAGCACGTAATACAGTCGAACCTCCCGTAAGCAGCCACCCAAAATGCGAAGATTCAGAGGTATCATACGGAGGGTGGTCGCTTTACGAGAATCGAACGATATGGGAGACTTTTCTGAGCTGAAGTCCTGACACACATACTTATTGAAAGAGAATTTACTGCATACAATTTCTTCTTTCTTAAGCTCCGTGTTGTCACTAAATTTTTTTCGTATACTCTGAGCAGTGCAGTTCATACAGAAAACATAGAGATCAGTCCATGCGTCAACTAGTCTCCTACAAGATTTTATTAAATATAGTGGAAAATTTTAAAACTTGTCTCCTCAAAAAGTGGTCGCGGTCGTTTGCGAGAGGTTCCAACTATTAGTAATTTCAGTGGGAAATTTTGGGGTTTTGGATAAGTGGTTGCCAACGAGAGGGGGTCGCACCTGGAGGCTCGACTATAGAATGAACTTCAAACAATGAAACAAAGAAAAGTATTATCAATTGATTTTAATTTACCAAGGCACTCTTGTCCACTTCCATAGAACCCAGAATTACAGGTGCAGTTATGAGACCCAATGGTATTGTTACAAGAAGCATGCACATCACATGAATCAATGTTGGTTGTACACTCGTCAATATCTGCAAACGGGTAAAATCCTTTTAATTTCAGGCAGTTATAGCAGTGCTTAACGCGAGCGAAGCCCCACAGTGGAGAGTATTTGCTAATCTATCCATGATAAGTGACTGTCCATCCGCCAGTCCGTCCGCACCACAGGGGAACCAATGTGAAATGTCACACTTTGTGGCTATAGTGGGAGCCTGCAACCTGATATTGCACATGCATGTTGTGGTCAATCACAGGGTACCCACTGACCAGTATCACATGACCGTATCGCGGGCTCTGGTGTCGACTCATCGACATTGTGTTTTTTGAAGTTATCCGCTGACAAGTTATTTTTTAATGATCCCGCGCTTAACTCCTAGTGGATACATGCATGGTTACAAGTTTCTTGCTTTAGCCTTGGCTAAATCGATATATTACAGTCACCGAATAGAGATGGTAGGGGAATTCGAAAGGGCTAAGGATGATGTAAAGATGTGTAAAGCTACCCTATTTGAGATATGTCATGGGAGCGACTGAAGCAATTGACTATACGCTTGATAATACCTTTAAAGGTGATATCAAATAACAATGAAATATCTTAAGACAAGCAGGACTTGAAAACAGAGAATATAAAATCAGAATACTGTGTTTTCGTCAAAGGTGTAGCACAGTATAATGAGATTGATGGGGTCGAGGCTGGCTGATGCCAATTTGTTAGGAGAGAATTTGCTCAGAGAACCCAGGTCTCAGCCGAATTCGTTCCTCAAATCCATTGTCCGAGGCAAAAGTGCATAAAATTCCTGGTTGCTTTATGAGTTATCTAGTTTAATTATGTAGTAGGTAATTTTTTTAATCGTTCTCTATAGATGCTGGATCATAAACCATTCAATGCCCATTCTGAAATTACTGAGAATTAACCTCTTCGTCAGTCAATCCGCGCTCGTCGTATCTATTTATAAGCCTCTTTGTTTGATGTAAAGATTACAATTAGCGGGTTTTCGTAAACAAAACAGAATGTCAGTGGAAAACGCTAATGATAGAAGCTGTAATCAGCCCTTTAGAGATCATATAAAGAGAAAGCCAATAAATCAGACAGCATAAGTTGGATAGCAAGCTTCAACAAAATAGTGCCTCATCGAGCAAATTGTCACGATATGAGCTTATACTTTTGGATTGCCTTGCAAGGAATACCAAAAATAAATAAATAAATAAAACAATAAATCAATAAGTAAACATGGTTACCAGTACACGACGTTCAATTTCCGCGATATCCTCGATTACAGGTGCAATGATACGATCCCTCAGTGTTACTGCAATGGGCGTTGACATGGCACTTGGTGGTGTTGGTCACGCATTCGTTAATATCTTATAGAAGCCAAAAAATAAGTAAATACGTAAATAAATAAAAATCAATCAATCGATCAATTAATTAATAAAGCACTGTTAGGCCAGAGCAAATCAAACTTTGAGGTTAACTTGTGCTGAACCAAATGTGAATGGGCGAGAACAATAAATTTTGCTCATTAGCATTTAGGTC